ATAGATATAAGAAAGTGACCAATTGCTTTTGAATGGGATTATCCAAGGGTGGTCATTAATATACAATGCAACAAGATTATTGGCTAAGTTTCGGAAATTCAGGTAAAATTGTGGTCTGTAATAGAAAATAATTTTATACCTACCTGTGTTTAATATTCTTTGGTTTGATATACTACTTAGTAGATGAAAGTGATCAAGATATAATACGGCATACCAGTTATACGAGGAACAAAGCGTGCCTACATTACATATCTTAATAAGGAGGCTTGAAAAAGATGAAACCGGTGTTAAATGTGGCAGAACTACCTTATGGAAGTGCATTCAACAAATGGGTTTTAGATTTTAAAAAAGGCAAGTTTTCATGGAATCTCTTAGAATTTGGAAATGGCGACTGGAATATCTACAAAAAATTAGGATTTACAGAGAACAACAAAGGCCAATTATTTACTTGGATGAAACCTGGTTCGACACTTATGATACCCCGGAAATGGGTTGGCTGACTCAAACGCGCCATCAAAAAGAGGTAAAAGAATAACTATTTTGTATGCTGGCTCCAAAGATGGTTTCATTCCAAATTGACATTCTCTGTCGAAAAATGTTAAAGATTCAAGATTAAAATATTAAAGATTCTTCTCTGGAGTACCATGACGACACCACCGCTGATTTATTTGAAAGATCGTTTAAAAACAAACTAGTTACAAACATTCTTTCTAATAGCTTAATTGCAGAGGACAATGCAAGTTATCACAGTAGACAGTTGACACAAAAGCAACAATCCAAAACTACATGTATAATAACAACATTTATTTTCACGAAGATTATACCAAAAAGCAATTAATTCTACAAAGCTTGAACCTACAAAAGGAATACGTCTGTGATAATTATGCAAAAAATCTAGCGCATACAGTTTTAAGGCTTCCACCTTACCACTGTATATTTAATCCCATTGAACATGTTTGGCACCAACTGAAATTTGCCATTCGTCGTAACAATGCTTTTCCCCATGTTAACTCCAATGTCCCCAAACTTATAGAAACCGAAGTTTTTAACATCCCTCCACAAAGTTGGGCAAATTCTGTTAAACATATAGAAAAAGCAGAACAATCGTATATCCATATTGCAAATAATATAAAACAAATAATAATTAGAACAGGCGATGATAGCGATAGTGATACTGATATATTATGTGAATAACTTTAAGTAATTTTAGTGTGTAATAAAAATGCAATTTTATGTTAGATCTAAACATAAATATATACATAAATAAATAAATATTGTTTAGTATCTTTCCTAACCAAACCCCAAATAATTAAATTCTAAGCAAAGTACGGGCCTGTTCGGCCATATTTCATTCTTACAGCTTGCCCGGGTCTTTCCTTAATTCGTATTAGTTAGTCACTTTCTTATATCTATGAACAGACTTTATCTGATATTTTCCGCTGGCCTCATGAAGTAGACTTTGTACTTAGACTTCTACTCGTTCTTCTCATATGCTAGACATGTTCAATAGGCGATTAGTTTGTTGACCATGCGAGTCAGATAAACTGCAGCAAAATTGGATTCTGGTCATTAATCACTGACATAATGTAAATTTTCCGTTTAATGGGGAAACTCATTATAATGATCGTTCTAGGATAGTTCTATCAATTCTCGAAAGAAACGTTAGAACTGTTTAGGAATTGCCAGTTTGCACAGTTTCAGTTGTTTTTGATTCAAATTCGCAAACTAAATTGGAAATAAGTTTACTTAAAACTTAATAATTAAATTTGTTATTCACCGTTTATTAGTTTTGGAATATGTTTAAGTTCAGATGACCCAACTTTGGGTGTATTTTGTGAATTTCATCTCCGACTTTTGAAAACATATAGCTATTAGATAATATAGTGCCCTACTACAGTACCAACTGATGCGCCGCATGCGGGCATGCCTCTACATTTCACCCATTAACCTATACTTTGTGGCATTTTCTTTCGAAACAGCGATTTGCACACACATAACCCGTTTTCCCTGAATATTTAACAAGACTTATGCATATTTTGAGAAAATTCTGCTGTAAAAATGCCGTATCCAAACATTTTGACGATCTGTCAGCGGCCATGCTGGTTGTTCGATACCGCTAGATCATTGGTTAAAAACGACAATTTAAATCCCGCGTATTATCGGCATAGGCAGGGCCTCTATACCTCTAGTGGCTATATGACACAGCATCTCATCTAATCGACACTTATGGAAAAATATATGATATTTTTTAAATTCCGGAAGCACCTAGTATCTTTTTGTTATTAGCTTGCTATGCTCCATGTTCACAGAAGCAAGAGACAAATTAAGTAGTGCAAAATAGCTGACACCAAACTGATATCAGTTGATAGATGGGCTTCATACACTAGATAACGCGTTTTGGTTTCTTACAGGTTCCGAGCTACTTGAAACAGTTCTGGAATTATTTTTCAGGTGCATTCAATTATTTTATTTGTGTGGGCCAGTAAGGAATTGATTCTCGTTGTAGAAACGAACCTTTAATCTTATTCCAGCTCTGTCTTTGCGTCTCACGACCTTATCGAGCGGTGGCGAAATTTCAAGTCCTTTGAAGTTTCGCAGTCGTGTAATTATCGGGCCCGTTACACTCGGGAAACCGGTGAGAAAGATGCGCACGCGTCTCGGAAATTGCAACAAAGGAAAAAAAAACGAAAAAAATTAATTGGGGAAAACGAGTTAACGGGCTGCGCCGGTAGACGGTGGAATGGGGGGAGGGTCGCGCTTAAGGGTTCCCCGCGTTTAGACCGGCTCGCGCTTTTTTTTTTACTTATTTTGGAAAACACCGGCCGTCTTCTCTGTTTAAACGCTTCCAGGCCGCGTTTAATGAATTCTCCGCATGTAATGTGTGTATCCATTTTTTCTTGAGTTTAAATCAACCTGGACCATATAGCGTTTTGGTGCAGTAATAAATAACGAAATAAATACATACAAAAAGACGGTCCGATTAATCAATAATAAAGTCGAATTCTATAGTTTGACATTGAAAATTGTTTCTTTTTATCGAATGGCAAAATGTGGTTTGCGATTTTAGCTAAATTTAGGTAATTTTGACATTGCTATCCGTTAAAAAATAATGACCATAAATAGGGTATGGAAAAGGAAATTAAATTAGTCGATTTTAAAAATTATTGAGAAATTCGTCATCTTAGCTTTCAACTTGTAGAATGATGTCTTACCTGGCAAATCCTGCATCCGACTGGAATCCTGCAGACGTTTCGCCAAAATCTCACTTGGCATCTTCAATGCTCGCGCTCCGAAAACACTTCGAACACTGGGAGGTTATCGGCGGTGCGTGCGGTATTTATACTCTGCGCCGGAGATGGTAACGGTGCTGCTTGTGCGTGGGGGGAGGTGGCTCCGCCCCCTGAATTGTCGCGTTGTTAATTTCGCCCGATCGTAGTTGCGATGTCCCCGTTGGCTGCTGGGCATCGCTCTGCTGTTTGATTATCGTTCTCCACGTGTTGGATAAATGCAGAGCGTCGTCTCTCGTATTGAGGTGTCCGGACTTTTCTATTTCGATGGCCTCTCGTATAATGCTAGTCCTAAAATCAGGAATATTAGCTATTTGTTTGCAAGTGCCGAAATCAATTTTATGGCCTGTCTGATCTTGGTGCTATAACAAAGCAGATGTTGTTTGTTTGTTTCTTATGGCTAAACGATGTTCCTCGAGCCTGGCTGAAATCCTTCTGTTGGTCTGTCTCACATACGTCAGGCTGCACGATCCGCATGCTACACTGTATACTCCTTGGTTTTCCAGAGTAATTTTTTGTTTTGGATTTCTTAGTATTGCTCCGATGGTATGGTCAGGTTTGTATGCCGTTGATATGTCGTGTTTCCGTAATATTCGGTCAATTTTGTCAGTAACCCCCTTAATGTATGGCGGGACAGCGATCGATCTTCGTTGGGTCTCGTCCTGCACTCTCTGCTGCGGCTGTTGTTGTTTACTGATTGCCTTGCTGATGGTGCACCTTTGGTATCCGTTTTGTCGAAGACATGTACTAATTTTCTTCAGTTCTTTATCTCTGTTCCTCTCGTTTGTGATTTTAGGACTAGGATTATACGAGAGGCCATCGAAATAGAAAAGTCCGGGCACCTCGATACGAGAGACGACGCTCTGCATTTATCCAACACGTGGAGAATGATAATCAAACAGCAGAGCGATGCGCAGCAGCCAACGGTGACATCGCAACTACGATCGGGCGAAATTAACAACGCGACAATTCAGGGGGCGGAGCCACCTCCCCCCACGCACACGCAGCACCGTTACCATCTCCGGCTCAGAGTATAAATACCGCACGCACCGCCGATAACCTCCCAGTGTTCGAAGTGTTTTCAGAGCGCGAGCATTGAAGATGGCAAATGAGATTTTGGCGAAACGTCTGCAGGATTCCAGTCGGATGCAGGATTCCAGTCGGAGTTCAACGAGCGAACGGATGATATCCCGGAATATAGTGTCATCACATTTTTCCATCCGTGAATCAATACGTATATCAATATATATATATATATATATATATATATATATATATATATATATATATATATATATATATATATATATATATATATATATATATATATATATATATATATATATATATATATATATATATATATATATATATATATATAAAATATATAAAATAATGTCGGCATTACACTTATTTGAGCACCACCTATTCAAAAACACTTAAAACTCGCGGACGTCAATTTTCACGTTAGCTGGATAAAATTATACGAGGTGGTTCAACGAGATTCCGCTTGTGTCTCTAGCATCGATTTCTGTGCCTGTAAATTGGTTATATATTTAGCGGTGGCACTGACTTCCCCAATTTATGTGTATATAGTGATATTGGCAACGGTTACTTTGACTTCCATAATTTACCGTGTATATTGGAAATATGTCGTCTGATTATATTGGCTTCCCCATGCGATATAGTTTTATTTTTAGTGGCCACATTGCTATCCCTTAAACCTAACCTTTCTGAATATTTTCATTACCTATAAAAATTTGTGTCGGCGTAACTTAACAATGAATCGTAGAAGTAAACGTATCTTGGATCTAGCTCGAGACAAGAGCCTAGCAGGTAAGAATTTTGACAATTATTGTATTAGCTTTATATTTTCTCAGGTATGTATAATAAGCAACACAATATCGTCTATTTTATTTTAGTTTTAGCTTCCAAAGGATTTGTTCGGAAAATTGATGAAATTTCTTTAAAATTCGATTGCCTAAATAAATTATAGAAGGTCAGCTTTTTTATTTACACTTTTTTTTTGACAATATGTCAAAATTATTATACAATTTGTTTTACACTTAGTTACAAAGTTTCGCCGTATCAAGCATTACGAGAATTAATTCGCAGGTTAAGATTCTTTCAAGATATTTAAAATAACTGAGATTCAACAACGAAATTACGGAAACACATCACAAACAATACAAAAGTCAAATCATTCATGTTAATATATTTTCAACATATTTAGCGATTCCGTTACTTTTTTTAATGTTAACCAGTTATTTGTGTCCATTTATCTTTGAAAATTGCATTGCTAAATTTCAGAGGTAAGATCTCACCGAAAAATATGATGGAAAGTTTATATAATCAAAGGGCCGAAAATGCATGTTTTGTGAGATAAACGTAAACTTTTCAAAAACCGGTTGCAATTGCAATTTGCAGTATAACCGTGTCATCAAGTATTTTCCTAGTTTACTGAAGTTAGATGATACATCACATTCAATTTTTGGTTTAAGAAATAAAGGCTGAAAACAGTGCTCGTTTTTCTTATTTAAGTTAACTAAGTTTTCAAATTTTGAGAAAATTGAAACTGAACTACGAATATAAACAATATTGAATTTTTTTCGGCATGTTCATGTCCTTGTCCAGATGTGGTAAACAAGATTTTAAACGGACAAAAACTTTCGTCTTTGAAGAAAAGGACATTTTTTATCAAAATTTTTGATTGAACAAAAAATATTATTTTGCATGTAGAGTGTCCAAACCGTTAACAATTTTTTACAAGAGTAAAGCAAACTTATTCTAAAGTTTTTAGCAAAGTGCTACTCAGATTGTAAGTTCTAAATGAGATATTTTTAACCAAACAAGCAAAAAAATATTATCATCCAAACTTAATGAAAACAATTAGATCCAATTTTGAAACATCATTTTGCTAAAAACTTTTAAATAAGATTACTTTACTCTTATAAAAAAAAATGAATTGTAAGTAAATGAATTAAATGAATGACATTTTCTCGAAAAAGTGCATTTTTGGTATCTGGCTTAAATCACAGACAATTTTTTTAAAGTTTTTGTTATAATGTATGGAACTATCCGCGAAAAATGAAAACTACGTAACCTCTTTACATTGTTAAATTATTGTTTTGTAGATATGACTCCTTCAAGCTCGGATAATAGCCAAATAATTTCCGATTCGGAATATAAATTACCAGAAGAATCCGAAGCAGAAAGTTCGTGGGAATGTGGATACAGAGAAAGTGATTTTTTTTTGGATAGCCCTATTGAACTGCGTCAAGAATTGCCCGACAGTACATATACTACGATGCAAACAATACAACCAGGTTTACCTCCCGAAGAAAATAATAGCGTTGACCACAATTACTGTGTCAGTCTCAGACAAAATGACAATCTGGATTCCGAAGTTAAAACACCTGGAAAAACTCGACGTGTTAGGAGAAAACATCAATGCCTATATTGTAATCAAGATGTCGGAAATTTCTTAAGGCACATGGAGCGTAATCACTGGGACGAATTCCAAGTACAGGAAATTTTGTCGCTAGAGAAGAAATCTAAGAAACGGATTAAGTTGATTGATAAACTTCGTAGGGAAGGTGACTTTTCTACATCAAATATTGTACCTCTAATGGCAAACAAAAAAAAGCTAGTTGAAGACTATATTGTTTGCAAATTTTGTCAAGGCTATTATGCCACGAATAGTCTTCGTCGCCACGCAAAAAAATGTTTCTTTAATCCCGATCCGAGTCAACGCTTTCAAGCACAGATTGAAGGTCAAACAGTAATGGTTGGGAATTTTGGACCGAATGATCCTTTAAAAATTAGCGGTCTTATAAACATGTTACGAGCAGATGAAACTTCGTTGGTTGCTAAGAAAGATCAACTTATTTGTGAAGTTGGTAGGCGCTATATAAAAAGTCACAAAGAAAAACATCTTTTGGTAGTAGCGAAACGGAACATGAGACGATTAGCTCGTTTACTCATCAGCGTCAGAACACTCAAAAATAATAAAACACTTGGTTTAGCTGAGATTCTCTTACCTAAAATGTTTAAAATACTGGTTTTAGCTACAAGAAACATAGCAGAGTATGACGTTGAAAATCGAAGTTTTAAGTCCCCTTCTTTGGCACTTCAGATGGGAACACTGATTAAACATGCAGTAAATACAGCGTGTTCTATTGAAATTCAAAAGGAAAATCCTTGTAAAAATTATATACAAAATTTCAAGGAATTAATAAAACTTATTGATAATGACTGGGCAATTAAGGTTTCGAGCGAAGCAGGACAGAATTTGGCTTACAAAAAATTTAACAAACCAACATTAATACCTGTGGCGGAAGATATCAAGGTTAATTTAAATTTATCACGTTTTGAAACTTGTGTAAATATTGGGAAAAAAGTAGCTTCTTGCATAATCGTCGAAAAAAATTGTTTTATAATACAAGTTTTATCACAAACCAAAACATAATTTTACCTCATAAATGCGCGTTTTAGCAATCAAGTTGACATCTCCAATAAAAGATTTAGATTTAATCTTCTCCTGAAGATGGACAAAATTGTGTTTCGGTTATATTAAGTTTATTTGTTTTACAGTTTTTATATTTATGTAAAAATAAAATTAAAAAAAAAAGTAGAGGTATCGCTGTGAAAACAATATCTCACCAAATACATACTATGAAATAATCTTTAATGACTTAAATGAAAGTTTAGATTATCAATAAAAAAAAGTGATTTTGTAATAGAGATGGTTAGATATATAATCAAAATTTCATCATTGTTTTATGTAGTTTTCTTTATTTCAGAAACTGGACCAATATCTTAAAAATCTTATTTCACAAGCCAAACTTGTCTTGGCAGAAAATGATCACAATGAAAAAGCTTATCGAGATTTACTGGAAGGGATATTTTGCAGTGTCATGTTTTTTAACAAAAGGCGGGTAGGGGAACTCCAAAGGATGACCCTGTTAGCCTTTTTAGAAAACCACGATTCAGTCCCATCGTCCGAATTTGAAAAAGTGCTGACAAATTCCGAGAAAATTTTATTTAAATCACTCAAACGCATAGTCATTAGAGGAAAAAGGGGTAGAGGGGTTCCTGTACTTTTTGAAAAAATCGCGATGGATTCTACACTCTCTTTGGTAAATCTGAGAAAAAATTTTGATCTTGAAAATAATCAGTATCTTTTTGGTTTACCGGGAACATTAAATCCAATTGGAGGATATACGGTCATGAGAAAACATTCACTGGCGCTTGGTGGAAACAAGGCAGCAGCATCATTGTTGACTTCCACTAGGTTAAGAAAGCAGTTGGCAACTATCACTCAGATTTTTAAAATAGACAAAAATGAATTGGAGCAGCTTGCTTCATTTATGGGTCATAATGAAAAAACCCATTCAGAATTTTATCATTTGCCAGACGACGTTTACCAAACCGCTAAAGTGAGCAAGTTATTATTACTTTCACAAAACAGTGCGTTATTTGAAAAGAACAAAGGGAAACCTCTGAGTGAAATAGAATTAAGTGATGAGATCATAGACGAAAGTGATGACAATTATTTAGAAGATTTTTACGAAAATGTGTTAGAAAATCAAAACCCGAATCAATTGAAAAATCAGGATCAGGTTCCTGCCTTTGGTGTAGCAGACATTCCTAGAGAAAAAAAAACGGAAACGTAAGCTGGTACCATGGACAAAAGACCAAAAAAAAATTACGGAGTGTTTTTTCAAAAAACACATTAAAAATAAAATTCCTCCAAAAAAGCAGGAGGTAATGAGATTAATCGAGAGTCATCCTGGGATTTTTACAAACAAAACATGGCCAGTAATAAAAGTTTACATATGCAATAAATTTAATAAAAAATAACGGGTCTGAAGATGTGTTATTTACAAATTTAGAAATGTTTTTTAGTTTGTCAATGATAACGAATGTTACATGAAAACTATTTTTGTTTCCAAATTTTTGCTACGAAAAAGGTTTATTTTTTATTTTATTAATGCAATCTATTTTATTTTAATTCATTTGATCATTGCGTATAAAATATGGTAAATAAGGACTATATATTTAATTTTGCATTTCTCTTATTCACATCCGAAATCCAGAATCGAGTGAGGCTCGAGTAATACAATTTCTATCCAAAGTGAGAACAAAAAATGTATATTAATTAAGCCCAATCTGCAACCCCTTGGATACAGCATGATTCTCAATTGAAATCTTAAATAGGGAGCAGAGGAATACCTTATTTTAAAGCTTTTAAAAAACGCTTCAAGTTCTTGGTTTGCTAGAAAACAGAAACACTTTTTTTGAATGAAATAAATAAAAAAAATTAATGAAATGAAAATTAAATCTTTCAAAAGTTTGCATTCATTTACATCAAACCGAGAAGAATATTATAAAATCTAGATTTTCTAGTATTCCTCAAAAACATTTTTCAAAAGCTTTAAATGAGCATCACTCGAATCCCTTTGCTACTTGAAATTTTAATGGTCAATGTTCAATGTCTAGTTAATATACTTTTATGCTTTCACTTCTCCTGATAGAAATCGTTTCCAGCGATTTTCGATTTTTTTTTCGTCCCTAAACAAAGCTGTTTTAGGTTTTTAAATTGTCATCTCTATATGCAATTATAACTCAAAAGCAAAATAAAATACTTTAAAATGGACATAAACTGTTCCGAAAAACATATAAACATTAGTAAACTAAAAATGAACCTTTTCTAAATTTGTAAATAAAATATCTTCTTCGGATCAGCATATTTTTTTAAATTTATTGCATACGTAAATTTTTATTACTGACAATGTTTGGTTTATAAAAATCTCAGGACAGTTCACGATTTATACAATTTTTATTTTTAATATGTTTTTTGAAAAACCGTTCTGTAATTTGTTTTTGATCGTCGTTCATGGTAACAACTTAAATTTTATTTTTTTGTTTTTTTCTCTAAGGATTTCTTCCGCAGCAGTTGTAACCTACTCTTCAGTTCGTTGTGATTTTGATTATTTGTGTTGTGAAAGTATAAATATGTTATGCACTTAAGTCGTTTGGGAAACGTCGTCGAGCAAACGATAAAATTCTGATTGTTTTTTTTTTCATTTAAACCCATAAATAAAGCAACATGCTCATTGTTGTCCATTTTGAATATCTGAGTGTAAGGTTTATCTGGAAACCTTAATTGCCCTAGAAATTTTCTTGTGAGGATTTTCTTTCTTAATTTCGATGTAATCAGCTGTATTTACCGCATTTTAATCAGTTTTTCAAAGGAGACTGAATCTTGTTAGTTAGTTAATCGGTTTCTTCGATTTTTACTTTTTTTCCCGACGCTTTGATCAGCAATGATGTTTTCTCTTACCACTTTGAGATTTTTCAGATTATTTTTGTCTGAGAAAAACACAGTAATTATGGTCAAATTTTTATTTCATTTTTTTTTCGAGAGCTATAACATGAATATCACTTGAACCCGTGCCCAAGGGGAAGACTAAAACTCTAAACTAAATAACAACGATGACCTTGCGCCCGAATAGCTGACAAAAAATGCGTTCTATAAATAGCAAAGGTGGATGCCACTTCCTCCGTTAGATAAAACCCAAAAAATATACTATATATATATATATATATATATATATATATATATATATATATATATATATATATATATATATATATATATATATATATATATATATATATATATATATATATATATATATATATATATATATATATGATGACACTATATTCCGGGATATCATCCGTTCGCTCGTTGAACTCCGACTGGAATCCTGCATCCAGTGTTCGAAGTGTTTTCGGAGCGCGAGCATTGAAGATGCCAAGTGAGATTTTGGCGAAACGTCTGCAGGATTCCAGTCGGATGCAAGATTTGCAGGATTCCAGTCGGATGCAGGATTCCAGTCGGAGTTCAACGAGCGAACGGATGATATCCCGGAATATAGTGTCATCACATTTTTCCATCCGTGAATCAATACGTGAGAATATATATATATATATATATATATATATATATATATATATATATATATATATATATATATATATATATATATATATATATATATATATATATATATATATATATATATATATATATATATATATATATATATATATATATATATATATATATATATATATATATATATATATACATATATAATTGGATGAAATCGAAGAAATACTGAATTTATCGAGTAAACTTTAATGCATAATACATAACAGTCCGCAAGATTTTGCTAAAGGTTTCTCCTAGTTTGTCTACTCTTTCTGGTGTTATCTATTTCTTCTAATTCAGTTAAAGTTTATAAGCAAATTTTTTCGAAAAAACAAACCGCTGTGTTTTGCGTAGACGTGGGTGGCGATAGTGCTTCTCTGCCAAATTCCGCCGAGCTCCGTCTAAAGTTGGAATAACTAGGGAAAAAATAAATTTATGAGAGTAACATTTTCAATTATTTTGTTTTAAGAAAATATATTATGAAGCTTAAAAATTATGTATTTTCCAACTGTAAGAATAAAGCCTTATTAAAAAATAAGTAACATTTAGGTTTAAGTAGCGCGATTATTTATACGCAAAAATATAAAAGAGTTTTAAAGATAAACTTTGACGATAAGATGTTTTTTTTTTCAGCTGGGTTCACGTCAACTGTAAAGCGCCTTCTAGGTTCTAAAAACTGAAGTTAAAAAAATACTAAGCAAGGAAACCCAAACGGAAAAATACAGAAAACGTTGTCATGGATATCGATACCAAGATAAATAATTTCCTCACATTTGGTAGTCAGATTTTAGTAGTCTAGCAAACGAAAGTCTCCATTAGCTGGTCCCTAAAAATGTTGGTAGAAGTAGACGTAGATGCTACTAATTTTAGATACATATATATATAGAAAACATATTCTCGTATCTGCCTGCAGTTTTCATTACCTGGTTGCGCCAATCATTGGTTTTAATGATTTGCCAGCATTACTTTCATTTCGTTGTAAAGAAAATCAGACATTTAACCAAACTAGTTGGCTATCGTGAGCGGTGGAAAAATGATATTAGGATTTCAAACAACTTTAAACTTTAGAAAGTCGGTCGGCAAATAAAAACTTACCAAATTAAGTTTTTATTGCATCGCTTCTAGGAATGTATAACGTCTCGTAAATTTTATTGTTTTATCCTCGTTTGCTTCTTCCGTTTCGCGAGATCGGCTCCGCAGCGTTTGTTTCGCCGGATTTAAATACAGGTCCGGGAAAAGAATTCTGAAGTTTAAAATGTCGTTATCAACTAACCGTTCGAATACGCGGGGAGTCTATCAAAAATACATACAAGGTGTTTCGTTAACTGCTAGACATACGTCAACTAATATTGGGTATTAATGGATTTAAGAATGTTTCAAAGAAACTACTGTTATACTTTTTATAAAACTTCTGGATTATTCCTGGGTCGGTTTTTGTTGAGTTGAACTAGCTAACGTTTCGCCAATCATCCTGTTGGCTTCTTCAGAGCTTGCCTGAAACTGGCTCGCATTTTACTCTGTACCTGCTTTTATATTGTTTCAGGGGGCGGCGCTAAATTGGGGGCATAAACACCCTCTTGGATGACTGATTTTTTTTTATTTGAATTTAGATTTTTATAGCATCTCGGATTTTTCGTTGCCATAAGAATTGATTACATGCAAGAATTTTAGTTTTATCGAATAAAATTTTATGTCCGGTTTCGTGATTGTATTCGGCAACTGCTGATGAATCTGAATGTTCTTTGGGCTTAGTTGATATTTTACGCCCGGTCTCTCCAATGTATTCTTTGCCGCATATGGTTTTAACGTTATATTTCTTTAGAACTTTTGATATGTGGTCAGTGATGATTTCAATATAAGGAAGGACAACAGTGGCAAATGTGGGATTGCTTTCGGTTTCATTGCTATTGGAAGGTTGTGGTGAAGTGAATTTTGTGATGAAACGCTTAATATCTTTAATGTTCAAATTATTAGAGAGAAGACCAAAGGTAAGGTGTTTAATTCTGGGTTCAATGAGTCAGGATGAGATAGTTTTACGGCTCTGTTGATTTTTGGTCTGGATGGTGATGTGACAATGCATTAAGGTAACGGTCTGTGTGCGTAGGTTTCCTGTAAACTCAATGACCCAATTTTAGTTCTGATTTTCTATTGATGAGAATATCTAAGAATAGGAGGTTGTTATTAGTTTCTATTTCAATCGTAAAACGTATGGTGGGGTGCATAGAGTTTAAATGTCTAAGAAAATCTACTAGGGATTCCTGACCATGAGCCCAAATAGCAAAAGTATGATCGACGTAGGGTTTTCATAATTTTGGTTTTAGATGGAAAGTGTCGATAGTTTTCTTCTCAAAGGCTTCCGTAAATATATTCGAAATGGCTGGTGATAGTGTAAACTTCATAGATAGCTGTTCCCGACGCTGTTGATCTATGTTTTTGGCTACACACTATGTTGGAATAAAAAAACAAGTTATTATAAGATTGACGCTGGTTTGAAAGTTACCTATATCAGAAGCAGCAAATTGGCTGGGGTTGAGGTAGTTGCTGTGAGGCTTGATAGGAGAGCTGCAACGAGGGGTGTTCCCCAGGGTTCTATCTTTAGACCTCCACTCTTTTAGAACTGATCTGATCTACGAGTGCAGGTGACCTGCAAATTAATATCCTAACACCCACGGCAGATCTTTCGGGCACCATTCATTCAATGTAGACTTGCAAAAAATATCAGCCTGGGCTTTTATTTCGTTTCCAAAAATTTTTATTGACCGGTCCTCATCTAATATAGTGCTAAATAACGTTAATCTACCATACACGGACAATAATTTTTCTTTTCATTTACATATGAATAGGATATGGCAAAAAACAACTTACAAATAAAGGGTGATTCAATCAGGGTCTCCACATTAAAATAATAAAAAAAAACTCGGAAAAATATAAAAATATATAAACATTTTTATTTGCCATTTTAGATTAGTGGATTACAATTAGGTATGAAAGATGATGTCATTCAAATGACCCCGAGACTCATGTGGCATGACGTAATTCGTTTATTCACATTTCCTATCACTTTTTGACACAATTCAGGTTCTATGCCGGCTATTTCGCGTCTAATCTCCTGTTTCAGCTCTGGAATAGTGTTTGGTTTACTTCTATACACTCTGCTTTTTAGATACCCCAAAAAAAAATCTAGGGGAGTGAGATCACATGATCGCGGCGGCCAATTGATATCGCCGTTACGTGAGATAATCCGACCAGGAACCTTGCCCCGCAGCGGATGTGTGACAAGTGGCTCCATCCTGTTGGAACCACAAATCTTCAATGTCCATATCTTCCAACTGCTCCTAGAAAAAATCAGATATCATGTTTCGATAGCGAACACCATCAACCATCAACCGTAACAGCGTTCTCATGGATTTTCTAATCCCAAATACGAGCATTTTGTTTGTTTACAAAACCACCAACTCCTGAGTTATTTGGACTTTATATGGGTGTAGATGCAAGTCTTTTGTTAAAATTCGCTGTGTGATTGAATACGTAAGGCACACTTGCTGCGATCGATGACGAATCGATGTGTTTGGATCGTCGGCTACACTTTCGCGAACAATGGCAATATTTTGATCTGACCGACTTGCACGAGCACGTTGAGGAAGTTTGAGGTTAGTTACAGATCCAGTTTGCTCAAATTTTTGAACCACATTCCAAATTGTCCTCTCAGAAGGTCGATTTTGCGCGCCGCAAAGTTCACGTAGAGCCCGAAATGCCCTTTTTCTTGATCGACCATTTTCATAATAGGCTTGCATAATTTTTACACGTTGTTCGGTCGTATATTGCTCCATGACTAATTTTTTTATGGTTTGAGGTTAGAAATCTCATATGATAATAAACAAATACAGTGGCGTTTCAAAAATATTTCAGATTGTAATGTGGAAACTCTTATTGAATCACCCGTTAAAACTACCTGTGTCGAACAAAGTTTAAAAAAAAATGTTTTTTATATTCCTCTGCCCTATGGATAACTCAGTACCTCGTTCGTTTAAAGATTGTAGTACATTTTTATTTAAAAATCCTCTGAAAAGTTTTGTGTCCGGTAGATCATAAACCTTCTAGTGACTATATGAATCTTTTTTGCACATATTTGTGTGATGTGTTATTTTGCTGTTGTGTAAATATTTTTAAAGTTATGTTATTGGGAGGTGGTTGTTAATTATTAAGAACATTAATCAATCTTGGCATATCGCAATAGTTTCCCATTTTATGCAGTAAAGATTATTTATTTCATTTGACAGCCTCGTATCCTACACCCATATTACGAGCCCGGTGCAAAATCTAGAGCAATCGAATCCGTATCTCAACCAGGAGGGTGTTCACTTATCTTTGGTGGAGCGTTACGATAAATTAGTTAACGCCCCACTGGCCCACTTTTCATCCCGTATTTGTTTTACAACTCGATTCCATCTGCAAAGGGCGAGGATTTAGGCTCTGCTCCGGTGCAACTGCGACCTGGTTCGAGCCGTAGAGCGTTGTAAAAGCCGAAAAGGGAAAATATCGCTACGGAACTAACGAGACGTATATCATACGGTTCGATTTGTAAACAAACGGCAGCGAAAAGTTTAGCCGTGCCGCTATATTGTGAAATAAAAATGGACGAAATAAAAAAAATGCCATTTTGGCTTGCCAATTAATTCGCCAATTACACCACGTGACAAATTAGAACTTTCTTTTGTTTATCGTGTAGTTTTTCATAATTTATAGGCCAAATATTTCGTTTCATTTTAGTCTCATTTTGATGAGCATATCACAAACGTAATAGCAAATGTATACATCACGAACGAAATACATATAGAAACATTGCACAGTATATTTTAAAAAACGAAAGATTATGTCCTTCAGACCAGACAAGTTTGTTAGGTTTGATGTGGAACTTTGATACACCAACGTGACCTTGGCGGAATAGTTAGACATTATCGAGGCCAGATTGAGGATTGATACAACACTTCAAGACAAAACTTCGCTTCGGGGGGAGTGTTGGAGGCCCTTTGGTGTTGTCTGCATAACTCTTACTTCCAAGACAAAGGCCAGTTTTATGCCGACCGATGAGCTCCACTCTCTCTCTCTCTCTCTCCCTCCCCCCCCGCCCCTCTCACTCTCTCTCTCTCTCTCCCTTGAAAGCGAGTATATATATATATATATATATATATATATATATATATATATATATATATATATATATATATATATATATATATTCTCACGTATTGATTCACGGATGGAAAAATGTGATGACACTATATTCCGGGATATCATCCGTTCGCTCGTTGAACTCCGACTGGAATCCTGCATCCGACTGGAATCCTGCAAATCTTGCATCCGACTGGAATCCTCCAGACGTTTCGCCAAAATCTCACTTGGCATCTTCAATGCTCGCGCTCCGAGTATTCGAAGTGTTTTCGGAGCGCGAGCATTGAAGATGCCAAGTGAGATTTTGGCGAAACGTCTGCAGGATTCCAGTCGGATGCAAGATTTGCAGGATTCCAGTCGGATGCAGGATTCCAGTCGGAGTTCAACGAGCGAACGGATGATATCCCGGAATATAGTGTCATCATATATATATATATATATATATATATATATATATATATATATATATATATATATATATATATATTCTCACGTATTGAT